TAAATATAAATGGTTTAATTACCCCAGTAAAAAGGCATGGATTTTCAGATTAGGTAAAAAACCAAGACCAACTATATGGTACATACAGAAAATCCACTTTTAATATAAATACCTGAATGACTTAAAAAATTAAACAGTGGAAAAAGATATACCACAGTAACACTAAAATAAAGCTAGAGTAGCAATATTAATATCAGACAAAGTAGATTTTAGGGCAAGGCCTGTTACCAAAGATAAAGAAGGTTATTTCATAATGACAAAGGGTTCAATATTGTCAAAAGGATGTAATATTCCTAAATACTTTTTTTTTTTTTTTTTTTTGAGACAGAGTTTCACTCTGTTGCCCGGGCTAGAGTGCTGTGGCGTCAGCCTAGCTCACAGCAACCTCAAACTCCTGGGCTCAAGCAATCCTTCTGCCTCAGCCTCCCGAGTAGCTGGGATTACAGGCATGGACCACCATGCCCGGCTAATTTTTTCTATATATTTTTAGTTGTCCGATTAATTTCTTTCTATTTTTAGTAGAGACGGGGTCTCGCTCTTGCTCAGGCTGGTCTCGAACTCCTGAGCTCAAATAATCCGCCCGCCTTGGCCTCCCAGAGTGCTAGGATTACAGGCGTGAGCCACCGCGCCCGGCCTCCTAAATACTTTTGCGTCTAATATCAAAATACATGAAACAGAAACTCTTAGAACTCAAATGAGAAAACAGATAAATACACTTTTATAGTTGGACAACACTCCTCTGTCAATGAGAGAACAAGTGAGCAGAAAATAAATAACTATACAGAAGATTTGAAAAAGACTGTAAGAGAACTGGACATATTTGATATTTACAGAATATTCAGGCCAACAACAGAATATACATTCTTTTCAAAATTTACCACAATAGACCATATTCTGAGTCATAAAGTAATTCTCCATAAATTCCTAAATTTGCAAGTCACACAATATATTTTTTCTAACCTCAGAATTAGAAATAAATCAATAACACATCTCTGTATAGAGTCCCCAAATATTTGTAAACATTCTCAATAACACAATTCTAAATAACCAACAGATCAAAGAAAAAAAATCAAGAGAAATTATAAAGTATTATGAACTGAATGAATATGAAAAAACAATATATCAGAATATGTGCGATGCTATCAGAACAGTCTTTAGGGGAAATATATAACACTAAACACCTACATTAGAAGAGATAGGTCTTAAACCAATGACCTCAGCTACCACCTTAAGAAAGCAGAAAAAAAGTTAAACCTGAAGTAACCAGAGGAAAGCAAATAATAATGATTAAAGGGAAAACTAATAAAACAAAAAAATAAAGAAAAATCAATAAAACCAAAGTTGATTCTTTAGGATCAATAAAATTGATAAAACCGTAGCCAAAGTGATCAGAAAGAACTGGAGAAGACACAACTTAGCAATATCAGGTATGAAAACGGGGACATCACTGCAAATTTATCATATGTTAAAATAAGGGAATATTATAAAAACTTAAGGTCAATAAATGCATAAACTTAGCTGAAATGGACAAAGTTCATGAAAGACACAGAATTACTAGAAGAGCTTACTCAAAATAGATAACCTGAATAGCTATGCTGCATCTATTTAATAAATTGAACCTTTACTTAAAAATCTTCCTATAAGACATTAAAACTCTAAACCAATATTCCCCATGAATATAAATGCAAAAATCTAAACGTAATATTAACAATTCAAATCCAACAATATACTAAAAGGTTAATACTTCATAATCAAGTGAGATTTATCTTAAGAATGGAGTTGATTTAATACTTAAAAATCAATGTCATTCATCATACTAAGAAATTTCAAAAATATAACATCTTAATAAATACGGGAAAAGCATTTGACAAGATCTAACATCCATTCCTGATTTAAAAACTATTAGCGCACTAGGAATCAAATGAATTGTTTTCAACCTGAGAAAAGGCATCTATAAAAAAACTATAACTCAAATCATGCTTAACACATTGACTGCCACACACACACAAAAAATTTCCCTTGGAGCCACGGTGTTTTATTATAAAAATAGAATAAAAACCTCGAAAACAGAACGATCCTTTCTAATTCAATGAAAATTTTGTTACTTTTTATTGTTTTTTGTGCATGAGTTACATGCAACTTGAAAAATAGTTCACATGGCTCCCAAGTTAAAGAGACCTGTGAGTTACAAATGCTCCACGAGGCCCCAGGCTCAAAACTACTGTGAGTTAAATATAGCTCACAAGGCAGTTAATGTGTTAATGGTGGATGAGTGAACAAGGCAAAAAAAACATGTGCTCTTACCACTTTTATTCAAATTGTATTTAGTTCTAACCAGCATAACAGGTAAGAAAAATAATATAAAATAAAACACATCTAGACTGTAAAGGAAGAAGTAAAAATGTCTTTATTTGCAGATATCATAACTCTCTAAACCTACAACATTCTACTAGAATATGTGAGTCTAGCAATTTACAAAATACAGCTTAATATAAAAGTAAACTGTATTTTTAAATACTAGCAATGCATAATCAAAATTTAAAAAACAAGCCAATTTTAGGGAGGGCTTGGTAGCTCATGCCTATAATCCCAGCACTTTGGGAGGCTGAGGTGGGAGGATCGCTTGAGGCCAGGAGTTCCAGACCAGCCTGGGTAACATAGTGAGACCCCATCTCTACAAAAAACAAACAAAAAAATTAGCTGAGCATAATGGAGCATGCCTATAATCCAAGCTACTTGGGAGGCTGAGGTGAAAAGATTGCTTGAGGACAGGAGTTCAGGGCTGCAGTGAGCTGTGATCACACCACAGAACCCCAGCATGGGTGACAGAAAACAAACAAACAAACAAAAAAACTAAAAAAAAAAACCAAGAAAAACCCAAGCCAATTTTATCCAAATGTTTGATAAAAATTGATAACCTGATTCTCAAATTTAAATGGAAATGAAAAGGACCTAGAATCCTTTGGAAAAAATCTATATAGAAAAGTAAATGAATCTCAATCTTTACCTCACGCCATATACAAAGATTGACTCAAAATGGATATGTGGTATATCCATGTATTAGGTCATTAAATGTGAAATGTCTGATTTTGAATCAAAAGTGTAGTTTCCTATATCTCAAACAAGAAGCAGTATAATTAATCAAAGTATGTGCCTAAACTATCAACATAGTTTTGCTGTCTTAACAGTAGCTTCTTTATGCCAGCAGTGAAGAAAGATGCCTGGAGAACTGCTGGCAACGAAATCGCAAAAGACATTTTCCATAGCTTGTTGAGAATTGAATATTTTTCCTTCCAAGAAGTGGTCCAAAGCCTGGAAGAAGTGGTAATCAGTTGGTGCAAGGTCTGGTGAATACGGTGGATGACAGAGAGTTTCCAGGTCTAGCCTCTGTAGTTTGAACAGCGTTGTTTGTGCAACATGTTGTTTTACAAGAGGATTGTCTTGTCTCTATTGACCAATCTCAGCTGCCTAATCCCAAGCATCTTCATTATTTTATCTAATTGGTTGCAGTAGACATCCACTGTAATCAATTGACCTGGTTTCATGAAGCTGTAGTGGATAATACCAGCGCCAGCACCAAAGAGACACCATTAGCTTTTTCTGATGAATATTTGGTTTTGGACTATGTTTCAGCACTTCATCTTTGCCCAACCATTGTGCCAAACGCTTGCGATTGTCAAAAGGAATCCATTTTCATCACGCATAGCAATACAGTGTAGAAATGGTTCACCTTTATGTCATGACAGTGGAGAAAGGCAAGCTTTAAGATGATTTCTCTTCTGATGTTCGTTTAATTCATGTAGTACTCATCTATCCAGCTTCTTTACCTTGCCCATTTGTTTCAAATGGACCAATATTGTTGGAATAGTAAACATCAAACCTTGCTGCTAATTCACATGTGGGTTGAGATGGATTCGCACTTCCACTGTAGCTTTCAGTTCATCATTATCCACCTTGGTCTCAAGTCACCCATGTGGCTCATTTCAAGATTAAAATCACCAGAATGGAACTTCTCAAACCATCGATATATTGTGTGTTCATTAGCCACATCCTTCCCAAACACTTTGTTGATATTTCAAGCTGTCTGTGCTGCACTGGTTCCACAATGGAATTCATATTAAAAAATAATACAAATGTTTTACTTATCCATGGTTTCCCAGAAATTGCCCTAAAAAAACAATTGAAAGGTAATCACCAGCCAAATGCGTGTTTGAAAGAATGAGGGTGTATCTTCACAATAAACATAAAATAAGAAGTGTCAAAGTGAAATGTCAGAGATAGTAACTGTCCATCTTAGTACCTGCGAAAATCAGACACTTCATACTTAATAGCCTAATACTCAACAACAACATGTAACCGCATGTAACAACATTGATACACATAAGTTGATACATACATACAAAATTTTGCTGAGTGAAAGCAGCCAAACTCCATCTGTACTCCATTCCATTTATATAAAGTGCTACACTGTATAACTAATACACACTGAGAAAAGATCAGTGAATGCTTGGGAATGGGAAAGTGGGGAGATTAAAACAATTTTTTGAGTAATAAATATGTTCATTACCTTGACTGCAATGATGATTTCATAAGTGTATTTTTGTGTCAAAAGTTATCAACTTTAAATATATGCAGTTTATTGTATGTACCTCAATAAAGCTGTAAAATTTTTTCTATTTCCTAATTATATTAAAAATTCTCTAATCAAAGAAAAAGATGTCTATGTAATATAAAGACCTAAAACAAAATGCTGATGAGTATTTTATTAATAAAATAATACTCCAAAAAAGATTTTACAAAATAGTCTTATAAAAATTATAATGTATATTGAACAACATCTTACCACTGGTTATATTAGAGTAGGGCAATTGCTGGTGATGAGTCTTCTTTTTGATATTAACTGTATTTCTATTCCAGTTTATATTCTTCTGATAATCATTTGCTTTAGTTTATTTTTTTAATAGCACACAGAATTTCCCCCCCAATTGATCATTTCGTACCTGTACTGGGGAGCGAATTGTTACCTTCTTACTTCCTTCCACTGTATCAATTTGACAAACAATAGATCTTTCAACTCCAGATTCTCTGTGCCTTACAGTGTACAGACGTCGTCCCACTTTTGTTAAAGGAATCTTATCAGCAGTAGAGTGATTAACAGGTGCTAAATTAAATAAATACGTTTGAAAGTTTTTATTATAATTCATTACATATTAATTTGAAGTATACGTTAAATACCAGAAATATCAGATGATTGCCTTAAACTTATAAATAATAGTCACTGAAGTCTTTGGATATAATCCATACAAAACGATATTTCAAGAAGTCACCATGTATTTCCACAGTATTCACAAAAACTTTCAAAGCATCTTTCCCAAATTTTCTTTTCTTTGGAAAAAAAAATCTCATTCAGGAGTTGAACCTAAGCACAATAATAGCAAATCTTTCAAAAATACCTGAGTAAAGAGAGGAATTATAAAACATAAAAACACTGATCTCTGGCTTGTTGTCATAATAACCAGAGCTTAATACCTTCAGGGAGACAAAGGCAAATACCAAGGTAGGTACAATTTTTCAGTTTTTAATTTTTTCAATAGCTTGTGTCACTTTTCAGTTATATCTTGAATGTGATTTAACAAAATTTTTTATCTATTTATCTAATGCACATGTTGTACTGGGGATGAGATTACTTATTTGCATAAATTTCATTTACAACTCCCATCCATTAAAATGTTAGTTTAAAAACAAATAGAGGTAATATTGATGAGAACAATTCATTGACAATGCTATGACAACACCTGGAACACCTGTTGTAAGTTATTTCCTAACTAGAAGAGAGTACTAGCTATGTTTTAGTATCCTGTCCCCCTCCCCATGTCTAAATAGCCTTTCAAATGATGCCCTCCTCAATAACTATTTAAATGCCAGAATAACAAAAAGTGGTGTGGATGTGGCTTTGGGACTATTTAATTTCACAATGACTAGATATTATGATAATTTAAAAATTCATATTAATATATTTCATCTCCTATAAAAATTAAAAACTTCTGGAAGCAGAAAAGACAAAGGAAAAAACTTCCACCTCAATAGGCAGAACATAAAAAAAATTTACAAATCCCAAAACCATTAAAGATATGCTATTTTCATGAATTTGAATTTAATTTGAATTCATTATTCAGCTGCAAAACTGATGGAATAATATCAAGTCATACCAAATATAGTTAAAACAACTATCACCAACACCTAAATATCTATGGCCTGTAAAAGCTTAGTGAGGAGGAGATCTATTTTTCTTCCCCACAACAAAGCAGTACATTACCATGTTCTAAATAATGACTGGATAAAGAAAAAATTTGGAATACAAAGATTTAGTGACAATGGCAACCAAAACACTGCAAAAGGAAAAAATAGTTCCCAACCTATTAGGAAGGAGTTTTAACAAACCCTGTAAGATACTACTAATGAGTAAAATGGCATTTAAAATGTAATTTAAAACAAATTAAAGCCCTGGGAAGCTAATAAATCACTTACTGAGAAGAATGAAGAAGAGTTTGCTGCTTAGGCTAGTCATTGCACTGAAGTGATCATTGTCTTTAGTTCGTACATAATCCATACTTAAACTCTCATCATTTTTCAATACATATGATTTTGCCATAGGAACGCTGAGTACACTAAAAGAATCACTTGGTGAAATAGAAATAGTAAGTCCAAGAGAATTTAAAATCATAAACGGTGCTAGATCCCTTATGAAGACAGGTGAAGATCCAGTGGCAGCTTCTGTAAATGCCTAATAAGGAAAAATTATCTTAAATAAAACGAAATGTGGAAAACTAAATGACAAGCAGAACACTAATGGACACATGACACATAAGTAAGTAACAAACTTCTTATGCAATACACAGATCAACTAAGACTAGTATCTCAACATTCAGTTTCAAATTTCTCTTCTTACCTTGGCTAAATTATTTAACATTACAAGACCACATTTGGATAATGTAATGTTTAATTGGTCTTTTGAATAGAAACTGATGAGAGTTTTATATTCTGGCACTTTGTAGTTTTCTTCTTCAGTGTCTGACTCAACAATGGCCTTTTTTGCTTTCTTTTTCACCTAAAATGATAAATTATAAAAACATAGGAAAAATGTTCTCCTAGGAACACAAAATAACTCATCCTACAAAGTAAAAACAAACTTTAGACAAATCCCAATAACAACACTAGAGAGAGCAATAAATATTACCTGTTCTACTGTCTTACTTGGACATCACCAACTAAAGTCACAGTGGATGGGAAGGGTATTAGAGGAAAAAAATCATCCATGGACCAGGAATACTGGGTCACGCCTGTAATCTTAGCACTCTGGGAAGCCAAGGCAGGAGGATTGCTTAAGGCCAGGAGTCAGAGACCAGCCTGGGCAACACAGTGAGACTCTGTCTGTACAAAAAATTTTTAAAAAGTAGCCAGGCATGGTGGTGTGCGCCTACAGTCCTAGCTACTCGGGAAGCTGAGGCAAGAGGATTACTTGAGCCTAGTAGTTTGAGGTTGCAGTGACCTATGATTGCACCACTGCGCTCCAGCCTGGGCAACAGAGCAAGACCTTGTCTTTTAACACAAAACAAAACAAAAACAAAACAACTATATTTCATCTGCAGTGACAGTAAAATGGTAGGTACAATTTAGAAGTAAAAGAAACCCTTAAAATTACTATATGTATGTGGCATCTGAATGTAATTTAAAAGCACATACTTCATAGCAACATAGAAATTCAGACAAAGAAGGGTAATTTAGTCTATTTGTCATGCTAATAAATAAAGAAGAGAAACCTAGGGACTTAAAAAGTCAGACAATAGTAGCAGAACAGTGCTGTAAACCTAGGACGAATAATCAATGCCATTTGCCACTTTTTAGGATTCACAGATTCCCTTGACCATGTATATTCTGACCTAAAACCACCAAAGAAATTCTTTTATTCAAATACTTCATCCAAAATATCTACAAAATTAAATTAAATGACCTTCATACAAAAAAGCTGGACATGCTAAGCTAGCCACCTTTGTTGTTACTTTAAATGGCTTTAAGCTACTAAAAGTTTGTCTGCCGGTTGACTGAATCATTACTAGGCAGGAGACATGCTTGTACTTCTGCAGTCTCTTGTTTCAGAAGCACAATTTCATCCATCTAAAGGCCCCAATTCTTATGAGTACATAAAGTCACAATATATTTCAAACAAATATTAACATATATTCTTTCTATGTATGTATGTATGTATCTATCTATCTATTCACCCGTAAGAGGACAAAGGAAACTCGGGATAGACAACAACCTACAAGAAGATGACAGAAGCACTATAACATAATAGTTAAAACTTGGGACTCTGCAGCTGGATTTGCATCCTACCTCTTCCATTTTGTAGCTATCATTATTTCAAGAACTCTAACCTCTCTGGTCTCAGTCTGATCACATGTTAAAACAGGGATAAAAACTGTATCTTTCTGAGAGCCTTGTTGTAAAGATTAAAAACAAGATATGTTATTTAGAACAATGTCTAGCACATAATTTATGTTACATAATTATTTGTATTAGAATCTGGGCTTGGATTATTCAGAGGTCAAACAGGGAAGCATGTGGACAAGGCTCATGATGAGAAAACTTGAACTTTGTTGTGATTAAAATTAAAGCATCTAGTGTGTAACTGAGATGTAAATATCCTCAATTTTTGAAATTTTTTTTCAGACCTCAAATATACCTTGATGGAGGAATGTTGATAATGGGGGAGGCTATGCATGTGCGGGGGAAGGGAGTATATGAGAAATCTCTGTACCTTCTTAAATTTTCTGTGAATCTAAATCTGCCCTAAAAAATTAAAGTCTTTAACACACACACACACACACACACACACACACACACACACACACACACACACATATATATACCTTGATTCCAAGATTCCATGGTCTAAAATCCTCAGTCTGATCAATTTCTAGGGGTTCAAGCAAAGGCTCCCATACACCAAACATTTCGTTATAATAATGCACCTATAGAAAGAATTTTCAATTCTTTAAATGAAGTATTCTGGTATTTTATAAAAGGATTTTCCATGCTGTTATCCATCATGTCTTTTGGCCCTGCCATTTTGTCCACGTGAAAACCAGACTGCATGGCATTCAGTAGCTTCCTATAAGCATTCCCTCAAGCATTTTCCTTACCTGGCTGACTTCATAATCCGTATTTGTGCTTCACAATACAGTCCAGGTAAAACCCTCTTTTAAAGCATCTTTCCCTGACTTCCAGGCTAGGCTAAACATCAAACACTGTGTTTTTCTAATACATATTATTGACATTTTTAAACATGTCTGTCTACCTTCACTCACTGAAAGCCCTGGAAGGCAAGTACCACATGATTCAATGAGTGTCTATTTATTTGAATCCCCTGAACTTCTTGGAAATCCTAGATCAAATCCTCTGCAAAATATATAAAATTCTAACCAAAATTTGAAAATTTGAAATCTAGACACAGTTTTAGCTCTATTAGTACATAACTCTATCAACACAAATAATGTAACAGCTTATATATTTTCATACTCACTGTTATAAGGTAGAACATCAGATTAGTTCACATAGACATGAACTCAATTTTAACCAAAATATCCCTGGAGATGATTCTATGTAGATAAATTATGAAGCAAAATGTTTATTCAAATCAAGTATCTCCCAAATAATCTCAACTAAAAAAACTGGTTTTAAAGTGCTCTCATGAAAATTTGAAAGATCTCTATGGACTCTTACTAGAGTATAAAGATTCTACAGTATATAAAAATATAAGGCATATCCTTCTAATTCTTTATATTACTATTAGAAAATATTATGCATATATTCAGAAATTCAAACTATTTTCCTTTTAAATAAAAAAGGTATTCAATTTTAACTCTTAAAAAAAAGAATTTGGAATCTAATGAGCAACTGTGTCTAGTAATATATTACCTTTAACTTGATAACATCAATTGAAATACACTTAATTAGTGAATATACACTTTAAAAGTAAAAGTAATTACACATAAAAGCTATTACTCAAGGGCAAAATTTATAAGCTTTCTTTCAGAAGTTTTCGAGCCAACATTGTATTTATAATAAACTTAATTTACAGAGCTAAGTGAGATTCCCATAATATTCCATGCGTATCATTATCTGTTACAAAACTTGAAAAATACTATATATGCTTACTTCTAGCTCAAGCTGACAGTGGAGATTTATTAAGGAACTCCAGTTTTTGCCTTCCCCTGAAAAACGTGACTTTGCCAAAAGCATAGGCACTGTTCTATGACCAATTCCAGCCTCAAGAACTATAAAAATAGAATCAATGTTCATTTTTATCATCTCTCCTTTGGGTACCAATTCAGTTGCAGGAGCCATGTTTTCAGTTTCATTTGATTCTTCAAGGAACCACATTTTTAGATTCTTTGTGTCCTTCTTTTCCCATAAATGTTCTGTAGAAGAAGCAGTTTCTTTTGGGATGGTTTCCTTAGTTGTATAAAGCGCTGAAGTTATGGTAATCATGGTATTTATAATAACTGGTGAAACCTTAGAGGAAAAAAATTAAACTAATAAAAAATCTATACATACCACTTTCAAAATTACTTAT